TATAGCATAGCATAGATTTTTTTTAGATTTTTCAAGACATCCTTATGTGTAGCATAGTTAAATTTATCGATAAATTTAACTCGATCGTTTGGCTATGTATCTGTATAGTTTATGTTGACTCCAAAGCAACACTGCTTAACATTTTCTATTTTACGGAAAGTAATTATCAGTTTTATGAGATATTTCCCTCTACAATAGTAATTGATTATTTAATAAGTAGACTTACCATGATCTAAATTCATTTTTCGTAATGAAGAAATGTACGCTAACTTTTTGAACAGATAGCAGAATAGAAGAGATGATAGAACAATCCAAAAATAATAATAGAGTTTTGGAAGAAATGTATAAAAATAAACATTTGATAAGATNCAACATCTCACTACACAGCATAATTGGTGACTGCTCCATTTTCATTTTTTTTTTTGTACAGTAAGGTTATTTAATTTGTTCCACAGCATAATATGTTTTAACATGTCCTTCTATGGGAAAATGCGTTTCGTATAACGGACTTTTCACTTAACAGACATGCACCTGGAACAGATTAAGTACGTTATACGAGGCACCACTGTAATTATTCGTGATGAATGCCAAATGATTGCCAGATTACACCACACTATATTAATTCTACTAGTTACTTATTAACATTAAGTAATTTGGCCTAGAGGTAGGTATTAGGAGCCATTGGTTAATAAATTTAATATTAATAATTTAATTTAATTATAATTAATTAATTTAGAAGGTGCTGGNACCGATCTGGAATGGGCTTCAAAGAAAGTCGAGCATGTACGGAAGTACGAGTATAAAAGTTACCGTCCCGCACGGCAAGCTGGCATTGTTGTGTGAACCGTCGTAGTTCCAAATGAAATTTATTCATATTAAATCGACATATTGTTTTATTGAACTATAAAATGTTCAAAATAACTCGAGTGTTTTTTAGATTTTTCCATTTATCTTCAGGGAATTTACATCATAAGAGAAATTTAAAAATTTTCCTATTTTGTTTTTATAAGAATATGATTTGAGAAATATTAAAATTCTTAAGAATTTTTACTGCTTTTTTCAATTTTTTTTTTATTTTTTATATTATAGTTTCCCAAATGTATAAGTTCTTAGCTGACAGCAATATTGGAGCCATATGTTCTGAAATTTTTAGTTTCTAGTAAAAAAGAAAAAAATTAGAAAAAAATAAAATAAATTCTGGTTTTAATAATTTTGTAGAACATAGTTTTTATTTATTACAAATTTATGAATGATAAATGCAATGTAATAAGTTTCATTCAGTCTGTTGCTACATTTTCTTACTCAAAATACACTCTTCAAATGTGAATGGCAACACCATGAAAGAATACATGTAGCCACATGCACATTGCAGGACCAGTAGGGGTAACAGATATGCAAATGATTAAAAGAACAAAGATATGCAACAGACACCTGTTTATTCAGTAACAAATAAGGCCTCCACAGGCTGCTATATGGCAAGGCGTACTATCAATGAGGTGATAAATGATTGCCTTAGATTCCTCTGCCAAGCTGTGTCTAATAGTGTATATATATCATCTATGGTATGTGATGGTGATCCCCAGTGCACCTCGTGTTAGATGATGTATCACAGGTGTTTGATGAGAAAGAGGTCCGGAGAAACTTCTGACCGAAGAAGGATGTGAATTCCATTCATGCTTGTAAGAGTTTGCTGTGTGGCATGTAGTCGGGCATTGTACTGAAGGAACATCGTGTTGGGTGCAGCCTGTACCAGTAACTGAATCACAGGCCCCACACATCTTTTAATGTACTATCTGCTATCAGAGTACCAGAAATGTGCACCGGGGCTGTTTGCTGATTGAACACACTGCTTCCCAAACCATGCTGCCTGTTGTGTGACCAGTGTGGCGCTTGATGAAAAGGGCTGATGAAAAGGTCTTGATGAACATTCTCCAGGAACCACCACACTTGCCCATGGCCATCATTTCTCCACAAACAGAAGCGGGATTCATCTGTAAACAATACTTGATGCCATTCAGTAGTCCAGTTGTGATGACACCACCACCACACCAAGCATGCAGCCCTGTGTTGTGTGGTTAATGGCTGCATCTCGGTTGCTGGTTGCCATGCATGCAACCTGACTTCATAAAACCTGTTGCAAATGGCTTAAGTACACGCAGATGCACCTGTTGACGGCAGTGGGTGGTTCGGGTGTCAGGTATCATGGAGAATGGGTCCTGATAGGCCATTTGGCAAATCTGCCAGTCTGTGCACTCTGTTGTGCACCAGTGCAATCCACTCCAATCCACTCCTTCAGTGTGTTCACAGATTTTCCTGCATCCATTATGTCATGCATCACTGTGGATGGTACTCGCGTTGTGCCCAACAGATGTGGCAACTGTGCTCATTGACAAACTCAGGTTGTGCAGTTTCTAACCCCATTGTTAATTGGTGGTAGTCAGCTTGCTGTAATCTGAGGCATTTTCTGTTTCTTTGAAAGTTTATCTGTCACAAACCATCACATTTACAACCTGAGTCAACTGTTGGTCTTTATAGCCCAAAACTGGTACATCACCACCTGATGTGTGTGCAAACTTAATCATTTGTACATCAGTCACCTCTACCAATCCTGCAATTTGTATCTGGCTATGCACATTTCTTCGTGGTGTTGTGATTTCACTTTCGAGGAGTGTACAATGTAAACAACAAAATTTCTAATAGCCAAATAAATTTTGGAATACAGTTTAGATAAATTTTGCAATTTAATTGGCTAATGATTAATCATTTTCTTAATTCTAGCTCAAATATAATTGAGCTTACAGATGTTTGATAGCATATTTACATTAAAGTATGTAATGAATAAATTATTTTCAAAATGCTCTAATATAGTCCCTTTAGAATATTTACACCAAAATCTTGCTTTTTTTTTCTATTTTACAAATGTTGCTCAATTTCTTGACAATTTATCTTTTATATTTTCTTGTTTTGTGCAAAAGTTCACTTGTGAAAAGTATATTTTAAGTTTTATATTTTATATAGATGTTCCATTTATGTAAATTAAGAAGTTAATTATAATATTTAATTAAAAATATATAATTAAGTACACACACTGAGCTGCTTAAACTAGTAGCATAAAACCAAATGCTTTCTTTCTCATTTGCCGATACCAATCGGTGTACGGTTTAAAAATAAGTAGAAGTTTAAAAGTATTTTTATACAGTCATGTTAAAGCTATTTTTAACGTTGTTTTTCTTTTCTACAGTGCAAAACGTTACATAAAAAACATTTCTAATTTGCTTCTTACGTCACTCGTAAACAAACTTTTCAGAATGTCAGATGTTTGGAAAGTGTCGCTTATTTGCTCAATAAAGGTCAAACAGTGAAGAATGATCCCATAATACATAGTTTTCCTAGTGATAATCAAAATATTCTTCTGGATAAAGTACTTGTATACATAAAAAGGAAAATGTTATGATGGAGAAATGTTTAAATTATCAGGAATTAATTTGCATTAAGATTTCTATGTATCTAGATGTATTCGTGATAATTTCAAAATTTTAAATTTGTATTATGCACTATTGATTCGTATTTTAGTTTCGGAAAGTTAATTTTTATACGGTATGCATATGGGGTGTTTTAAGTGTTGCGATACACGGGAATACTTAACACTTACTTGAAAAATGTGACATTATCGTCTCTGAATTATCTATACATACTGGATTTATTTCTTCTAAATACATATGCAGTGTTGTAACTAGGTAGGTGTGCAGGTATGGCATTCAGAACAAAGAAAGGACCTGAAATGAGGTATCAAAAAACTTGGATCAGTATTATATTTATATTTAAGTTTTAAATTTTGCTGCCACATGGTCTGGATAACATTTTATGGGTAAAGTTAACCCAACCATTTCTATTGTATTTTTCCCCCAAAAAAGAAGGGAGTCAAAATAAAATTGTATACAGGATGCACGTAAAGCTAGTTAAGGCATTGTACGTATGGATGCGTCTCTCTCACTCGAGCTGAATTTTTGTTAACACATCAGATATTACACACTTTCAATGGATTCAGTTACGCGAGCGCGTGTCCACAGGTAGAAATCAAGAAGTTAAGGTCTGGGGGGATCTTGGCATATCGAGCATGCTGATGCTTAACAACACATCATACCGTATACTAGACAATAGCTGTAAAAGTAGCTCAATTTAATCCAGCAATCATCTGTATATAAACTGTAAATAATTTTGTACTACAGGTAGGCATATATTACTGAAATATCGGACTTCAGGATGTTTTGAGACATTTTGAGGTAGCTACAAAGGTATCGCAGCACCATTTACCACTTGAGTGGACATTTCTGTAATTAATTTTTATTATTTTCAAATAGAATTCCACAACTACAGACATCTTGTGAAGTGAACTAATCAGCAGGATAATTTTACAAGTTATATCTGTTTGAAATGTGAACTTTAATTAAGAATACCCCGTATTATGAAAAACATTAATTAATATCAAATACAAACTTGTAACACATGTGCTATTTAAAATGTACTGTATATATGTGCTACAGTATATATATATAATTGTTAAAAAAGAAATTGTTTATATACAATAAAATGCAAGCCTGTACTTTATCCGGAAAAATATTTCGATTAATTCTTGTGAAGTGTCGACAGCTGCGTCGTAACGGTTGAAAGAATCTCTTTCTCTGTGTAAAATGTTATGTAGTATTTGTCTGTTGTGAAGATGTTGGATAAATTTATATAAATTTAATATAACATTCTGTTAATGTATAGCATGTATATAACCTACTAAAAACTTGTTTAACATATGCATGCATTAATTGTCATTAAATTTCAATATAACTTTCTAGCATTTCAATGTTTAAGTAGTTCTTGAATGTATGCTCTGCAATTGGTATTTTTTTCCCCCCTGTCGCATTAAATATCGATTGCAAAGCATGTAATTTGTAATGTATCAACTTTCAACTCTCATAATACTGTGAGCTGATATTTATACATTACAGATAACAATACCATTCTAGCCACTGGTGTATTCACATCTACAGAGCTGTACAGGTTGTCCAAAGGTAAATATACCTCCCACTAACAAAAACTAAGCCGTGAAATTCTTAAAAAATGTTCTTAGTAATAACAGTTAATTAAGATGTTAATGGATAGATATATCTATTTCAAAGTGTTAATTAATTAATTTGGAGCCATCTTGGCGAAAGCCGTCGATGGACGAACAGGAATTGGAGAAACTTTTCATCTTTTGGTTAGAAGAGAACGAGAATTTGCATCTTTTTCTTTCGTGATGTGCTCATATATTAGACGAATATTATTTATTTTATAATCTAATAACGGAGGTACATTTTTTAGATTGTTGCGAGCGATTACATTCAAATCTATACGAAGCATTTACGAAACACGCAAACTGTAACTTGTCCCGGAAGATCAGAATACGAAATACTTTGTGCCAAAAGATGAAATATTTCATTGAATTCCTGCATGTTGTATTTTAAAATAAAATATTTGAAAGGCCAAACTGCCTGATGGTTCATCCAATATTAATTATTCTAAAAATTATATTTTCGTAAATGATTGTTTACTTGATCGAAAAGTAAGTTTTTTAATGTGGAAGAATTAGAACTAGAAAAAGATAAATTTAATAAAATTTTTGAATTTTAATTTGATAATTCACTTGAAATTACAACTTATATACATATATATTGTAAGTTTTGGTAGTAATGTAAAACACTTTAAAAATGAAAAGCTTTGTTTAGATCTAATATTGTGTGTGAATATATATAATTGACATAATTTTCTAAAGATTTATAATGAGAGCAGTTATTTTATTCATTATTATTATTACTAGCCACCTAGTCACATAGTATTAACATCAAGACATTTATCATGGAGGCTAATTTTGCCGACTGATAACTATGGTTGCTAGCAATTGTTCACACAAAATGCCAGTCAAGAAGAATGCTGGCTTTCCTTTCCTATTATCCTTATTTTTCATGCTCCTTCTTTATATTCCCGTATTTCTCTAAATTCCAAAAATATCCTTATACAGAGTGTCCATAAAGTTCGTGTGCAATTTAAAAAATTTATAATTTTATATTAGTATTTGTAATAGAAAAAACTATATAGAATGTATTGGAAATAAGAAAATCTCTCTCTTTTTCTTATTGTATTTTATTAAGTTTCTGCATGTCCACCATCATTAGTAATACAAAGATTAATACGATTTTGTAGTTCTCTAAAAACATTTGCCAATCGATTTACCGTAATGCCTGAAATCACATCAGTTATTTTAGCTTTCAAGTCTTCTAACAATTAAGGTTTGGTTGCATACAATATTGTTTTCACATGTCCTCACAAAAAATTCTAATAGTCAAGTTTGGCGAACGTGAAGGCCAGGAAAAATGGTTCACCTCTTCCATTCTTATACTAAATTTTACTTAAAACTAGATTAAAAAAATCTGTAAAAAGTATTAGAAAGCTTAATTTTTCTATCACAAATACTAATAAAGTTATAAATTTTTTAAAATTGCGCACAGACTTTACGGAGACCCTGTATGTATAACTTTTGCTGACATTGGGGACAGAACTATCCCAACTCCCCAGGTTTAGATTCTTTCCTTATTTTTCATAATAAAGATTAACATCATTCTATATCCCTCGTGTAGTTGATTCTATTACATATCAGTTCTACAATAGAAATAATTGGTGCACAACATCTAATTCACGGTGTACTGTTACATCACACTAACAAACTGTTATTGATATTTACCATCATAGTTCCACTATATCACAGGAGGAATTTGTTTAGAAAGTGTTAAAGAAGTAAAAATAAAATTCAACAAAATTGGGATAACTTCAATAAATTATTCAAACAATTCTTTAGTTTATTAAAAATAAATCTAGTCACAATTAATTGTTTTGATGCCTAAGGCAGGAACCTTTATACTTCTTGGTAGAGGCCCAGTTTTTTCCTTGGAATCTGCCTCTGCATGGCTTTGAGACCGACTCTGTTCCAATTTAAAAAGAATTATTCAAAGATGATCCCAGAATTGTTAAAGGCAGCAGGGATGTGGTACTGGCCACACCATTTCTTACTCTGATTTTGTGTCAGAATAATCATCATTTCTTAGTTACTATTTCATATAATCCCAGAACATGAATTCTATAAAATAAATTTTAGAAAACTAAATCATCTAGTTTATTCTACAGTGAAGTTGAGATAAGTTGAGCTATTAAACTTAGAGCTCTTGAGCAAATAAAAGCAAAATTTATGTCTGTTGATATTTCTACAAGGCATTGTTTTATAAATTAACAAGATCATTTGTCGTGAAGAGCATGCAAATAAGTATTGAGGAAAATAATGTTACAGGTAAAGGATAATGAAGGAAACACAATCTAAGTAATGAAACTTGGCTTTATGTTAGAGTTACAAATAGATGTACAGTGGTGCCTCGTATAACGTATGCTTCAAATAACGGACACTGCGAACAACAGACTTTCAGTTTGGCCATTACGTGAAGCGAACAATGAACTTTTTGCGAAAAAGTGCGAATGATGTTTCCACTCTTTTGCCATTGGCAATGACAATCTGCTATTTTTATAATATATTAGTATTATTAGAATATATTATTAGTATATCTAAAGTACAGAGCTCTTGTTGGGTTCGGCTTGCTCCCTTGTTTATTACGTACATCACCTCAGTGCAGGGTATTTATTCAAGTGTTGTGCAAATCATGGCTTCTAAAAAAACAAAGGTGATTTCAATTGAAACAAAGCAAGAAATCATCAGAAGGAGTGAAAGTTGACAAAAACTTCCTTGTCGAATGGGGAGAGGTTCAGGAGTTTACCAACACTTGTTATCCAAACAGAGCTGAGGCCAACAAGATCAATGATCTCTACAATGACACCCTTGCCCATAATTTCCAACAGGTGTTGAAGAAGAGAGATAGAAACAGATCACCTCGGACATGTTTTTCAAGAAGCCAGCAGGCAAAAAACAAAGGATGGAACAAGAGGAGTTGACTCTGCAAGTTCCGGTAGACTCTCCTGAATCTGACTCCGATTAAAAAACAATAAAAAGAGACCTGCTGCAATATGTAAAAAGTCTGTATCTGTATGAATGTGTAAAGAAAGTGTTCCTCCACCTCCTCCTCACAACATCTGACTACATGGCATAATTGGTGACTGCTCCATTTTCATTTTTTTTTATGGTACAGTAAGGTTATTTAATTTGTTCCACAGCATAATGTGTTTTAACATGTCCTTCTATGGGAAAATGCGTTTCGTATAACGGACTTTTCACTTAACAGACATGCACCTGGAACAGATTAAGTACGTTATACGAGGCACCACTGTAATTATTCGTGATGAATGCCAAATGATTGCCAGATTACACCACACTATATTAATTCTACTAGTTACTTATTAACATTAAGTAATTTGGCCTAGAGGTAGGTATTAGGAGCCATTGGTTAATAAATTTAATATTAATTTAATTATAATTAATTAATTTAGAAGGTGCTGGAAGAAAAGTATAGGCCCAAAGCAGGACTGAAACCTGCAACTCTTGCTGTACAGATGCATTGCCAGTTAAGCTACCCAGACCTCTATCTGATCTTTGCTTCCAGAACTATTAATTAAAATATAAACATACTGGTTATTCATGGTGTTGACTGGGAACAACTGTGGCACCTATAGCCTATAACTAGAAGCATAGATCGGACAGATGTGTGGTTAGTGTTACTGCCAATGCAGCCAAGTGGGAGTCGTGGGTTCAAGTCCCAATTTGTGCTGATTGTTTTCTTCCAAAACCTTCTAAATTAATTAATTATTAAATTTATCAGGAGATGGTGTGCAACATCTACCTCTAGGCCAAATTACTTGACATTTAATTAGTAGCATTAATATAGCCCAATGCCAAACGATTGTCAGATTACATTAATGTAAGAATCGGGCTTATCATATTTCTCTTATTAGAAATTGAACTGAAGTTAAATTTCTATGCAGTCGAGAATAAGATTTTTAGTTTTTGATACACTATTTTATATCATAAATTTTGTTTTGCTTTTATACACAGAAAACTGTACAGAAGTTTGGAAAGTCAATCTTAAATAAATCAGGTTCTTCAGTGATTTTGTTCAAATAAGTCGTCTTTAAAACTGTAGATTAATAAAATATTTTAGAAACAAGTTGAAATACTAAGACTTTGAAAATACTAATTAACTCAATGGCAGATACATTATGCCGAAAGTACAAGCAGTTGTCAAAACAAGACAAATGAAACACTAAAATTCTAAAATCTTTGATTTATTATTTCTATGTAGGAGTTATACAAGATGTCCGAAAAATTATTGTGTAGTGGAAAAGACTTCAGTTTATTAAGTGACGTTTTAAATACTACATTTCAGTTTCTCTTATGTAAAATTCCAGAAATGTCGTTGAAGGTCTCAAAATCTGTGGGCATGAGGTGCAAAGACCTAGTGGACCAGATTATGTGGAAGATTGTGATTGGCAAAGTCTTCCGAAAACCAAAACGCCTGTGAGAGAACAGTAATGCCACTTACCACAAAGTGGGAATGCAGGACTTATGACTTGTACATATGATATTGCATAAGAGACCAATAACTTTAATGCCATTACAAATTTCTTACTGTGCAGTAACTTTCAGGACACCCTGTATAACGAATATATATATAGATAGGATAGTCTTTACACAATACGTTCTTTGTCATATCAGAAAAACTAACTGTAAAGTTTAATATAGTTTTATTAAAATAATAAAAATATAATAAACTTAACTTAAAATGGACAGAAGAGAATACAGTCGATCCCCCCTCATAACATCGTTGATTATTCCATTTTATATGAATTCCATGTTGTACGAGTCACTTAGATTTTACAAATACGTGTGCCGGGCTGTGAACGGCTCATGTATTTGTAAAATCTAAGTGACTCGTACAACATGGAATTCATGTAAAACAGAATAATCAACAGTGTTATAGGGGGGTGACTGTATATACAAATATTATAATGGTATACAAAACATTTGAAGCGAAAAGAC